TATATATATGAGGATAAATAATGTATTTAAACCATCACGAACCACACTCCATACCAGTGAGTGGCGGTAATGCTACTAACAGTTTGTTGCCAACCGCCATAAAACCGACAAGAAGAAGAAGAAGAAGAAGTCTTGTGTCGGATCATTGTTTGTCTGTCATGGTTCTCTGTGCTTTGTTCCCCCTGCCTGTGTGATCCTCGTGCCTCCTGTAAGTTCAGCTGTCTTTACAGCATTTTTGTTATTTAAAATAAATTTTTGTTCTACTTTTTGGAGCCTGCCTGCGCCCTGGGTCTGTTCATGCCCAATCCTCACACCGTAAGTCCGTGTTTCGGATCTTATCGGCTTCTGCAGGTAAGCACACGTTTGTGTGGTTTAGCCTCATCCTGCCTGTGACTTTTTAGTCGGAGTGCTTTTAGCCCCCTAAGGCTGTGGTTGGCGTGTCTTATGTTTGTTTCAAAAAGAAAAAAATAAATAGGCCCTCTGGGTGGGTTCTTCTTTAGTGAAACGTTTCGTCTCTCCTCCAAGAGACTTCTTCAGTCTGATGAGTTTCAGGTGAAACTCAGCCTTATAAGCACTGTCTCCACCTCGACAAACAGGTTAGTCATATGCAAAAGAGGGTCATCGACTAACAATAGGCTTGATTAGCTCTATTGTTCACAGAGGATCATGTGCCCCATCACCTGACCCATGTTGTGTTATGTGAACGTAGTGAATGCAAGCGGGGTTTCAATGTCCCCCTTTTTTGTCTTTCTTTCCTTCTTTGTGTTGGAATCATTGGGGCCCTGATTCACACCTTTTGCTCACAGGGGGCTGAGTCATACTTGCAATGACAGCATTGTCGGCGGAAGACAACTGGACACGAAGGCCTCAACCTCTGTTTAATGGTGGATGGTTTTTCTTCACAAAGATGACTTCCTTTACTCCTCTCAAACCAACGTTCCTCTCTATCAAGGATGAGAACATCTTCATCCCTGAAAGAGTGACTGCTGGCCTAGATGAGTGTAAACTGCAAAGTCCTGACCCGACGACGTAGCTCGTCTGTGCTGGCTCATTCTTTTGAACTGTGACTGTTTTGTTTCCCTGATGTGTAACTGATCACAGTCCTGACACTTAACAGCATACACTATTTTACTCTGTTTTTGCCAGTGAACTGGATCTTTGGGGTAAACTAATMTTTGTCACAACATGTTTTGGGGTTTGAAAGCCACTGGGACGTCATGTTTAGAGAATAAACGTCTCAGTTTCTCTGAAACTCCCCCCACATATGGAATGACGACTGGTTTGGGTCTGGGTTTAGGGTCTTCATTTTCAGCTGGTAGTTGGCTGGAATCCTGTTTGGGTTTCTTGTCTGCTTTCAGAAAAGCCCAGTCAGGATAACCGCTCTGCTCCAGGACCTGTTTTGTGTGTGACTTTGGGGTGAACTAATCTTTGTCGTAACGTGTTTTGGGGTTTGAAAGCCACTGGGAAGTCATGACTAACCTGTTTATCCAGGTGGAAGCAGTGCTTATAAGGCTGAGTTTCACCTGAAACTCATCAGACTGAAGAAGTCTCTTGGAGGAGAGATAAAACGTTTCACTAAAGAAGAACCCATCCAGAGGACCTACTTTTTTTTTTTTTCATTTTGATTCTTTCTACCTGGATTACTGAGATGTATCAGGACATAAAATAAAGTAGTAAACTCTCCAGCTACAATTACCCAAAAACGCTGCATACATAGCCGGTCCCAAGTATAAGGGGCTTATCACTCGAAAGCCTCGATAAGACGTCGACGTCTCCTCTGAAGATGAGCGCTAATGCCATGGTAGCAAAATGCCACCATGTTTATAAGGACTTATCGCAAGAACATGTTTGTAGCAGGAAGCGTGAYGGGTGTGTCTGCATTCAGACGACTCTGCTTCCAGCTTCAATGGTGCGGGCTGGCGTTTCCTCCACCTGTCTCCAGGTGGGGAGGAGCACACAGCCGGTGAGCAGCCCAGTGTTCTGGGACTCCTGGATTCTGAACGCATCCTTCAGTTTCATTGAAGCTCTCGCTCAGTTTGCCAAATCGGCACACACGTGCGTGTGTGTGCGTGCGTGAGTGTTAGGAAGAGTTGCACTCCTCAGTTTTACTGAGGTTCTCACTCAGTCTGTCTGACCAGAGGTGCAGTAAAAAATTTAAATTATTAATTAGGACTCTGATCACGTTCTTCAGTTTTATTGAAGTCCTCGCTCAACCTGCCTGACCTGTGGTGACACAAAAATTAAAGACACTGATCCGCGTTCTTCAGTTTTATTGAAGTTCTCGCTCAGCCTGCCTGGCCAGTGACAAAAAAAAAAATTAAAGACTCTGATCACGTTCTTCAGTTTTATTGAAGTCCTCGCTCAACCTGCCTGACCTGTGGTGACAAAAAATCAAGACTCTGATCGCGTTCTTCAGTTTTATTGAAGTTCTCGCACATTTGGTCTGTGCGTGCCCACCATTCCCACTTCTGTGCTGGAATGCCAGGATGCAATTCATGTGGGGCTCCCCTTCAGGTGAAGGATGGCCATGTCCTGTGTCGCAAATGCCTGGGCGTGGGCCATCTCAGAGAGGCTCTAACTGACCCGTGCAAGAACTGCAGTATTTTGCCCTTCTCTGTAAGGGAGGACAGGCTGMGTCAGATTGAGGGCCTCTTATTTTCTGACAAGTTGCTGCCCTCAGTAATGCCTCTACCGTGTTCCGGGAGGCGGAGGGAGGCGCCAATGGAAGAGTGCTGCAGTCCTAGAAGGAAGAAACCGCAACAAGAGCATCCATCTCGGCAAGAAGTAGACTCTCTGAAGGCTGAGGTGGAGCAGCTCAAAGCTCTGTTGGCAGCTCCAGTCCCCGTACCTGCTTCCCAGTCATCCTGGGAGGACATGATCTCTGTGAGGGCCTCCAATTCAGAGTTTCAGACCCTCGGGGAGCAGAGGGACCA